AAAAACATTTATTGTTTCTAAGATGGTTATGCTCAAAGCAACCCCCATTTTTCAAAGATTTTTTTGCTGTGATCCTAACTGCTTTAGAATCATTTTAAAGCCTGCAATCCACACTTCCTGAAAATATTGAGATGAAAAATGTCTTTGAAATTGGAGTTTCATCTGGTTTCCCCCCAAATTTTTAAAACTGATGTTCAAGTAAATTTTTCAGAAAGTGTGCATTGCAGGGTAAAAGATGGCTTTCAAATGAGCATAACCACTTAGATTTTTTCAAAGTTTATTTTTTCTAAGAGGGTTATGTTCAAAGCAGACACATTTTAAGCAAAATTCTGCTTTGAGCATAATCCCCCTATATAGAGGCAATGTTTAAAATTTTGTGCATTGATGATTTAAATCTGTGGATTTGTGTTTTACACCTCTTGATCAAAATTTGAATTGCAGGGGCTATGCTCAAAGAAAAATAAATTTTCAAAGAATTTTTGCTGTGAGCATTAGAGACATCTTGAAACAAAATTTTTAAACCTTCAATCTACTCTCCCTAAAATTCAAATTAAAGTCTAATTTCAAAACTATTTTGCAAAACCCCCTTACAAACAATGTTGGAAGAGATTTCAACTTACAATGCTGTGGTCCAATAAAAGTCAGGACCGCAATATACCTAACTTTCTGAGGTTCCCTCGTCTGCTTCACGTTTGTTCCGCATTGTTAATTTTACACATACGCCCGTATATTATATATATACTAATGCATATATACTAGCCTTCTTGTGCTACGCACCTTTCACCTTGGTTGCTGCACAACCAAGTATGTCAACACCGATCCGAATCGGTTGCTAGGCTCGGCGCTGACCTCAAAACAGGTTTTGTCTATATATACGAGTGTCCGCAATACTATGTTAAAATTACTCTCCCAGAACGTTTGACGCAAGAACCTCGATGCCACATGCTCATATATTTCTACGCTGTGTGAAATGGAAATAAAAGACGCACTTGTAAAGTTTGTCGAAGTCTAATTTTGATTCTTCGAAAGCACGCGGAAAACAGTCAAATCTTTGTTACCAACAGTCAACAGTTTTAATTAGCAGCAATTGTCTGATCAACAACTCTGCTTCAAAATTTAGGCTGGTTAAGACAACAAATTTGGCGCAGCCGTAGTTTTCTTTTTCGGAGGAATGGAGTCCTGAAGTGAGCCAGTTTTAAGTGCACTTACCAACTGCCCGCTACAGAAGTTAATAGAAAAGAGCTAAATCGAACAAAAGCTCCCGGACGTTTAGTGAAATTCCTAAGACTTAACTTGCAGAAAGTCTAGAATATTCACAAACACAACCCTGTGTACAAGGGTTGTAAAAGAACGATAGAGACTTGCTAGAAAAAGCTCCAAAAATCTAGAAGTTCTGTGAAAGGACCACCGATTCAAATTTAGAACTTTGCAAGTGCAGTGCTGAAAAGTGAGCAAGTGACATCGCTCTGTGAACCAACATGTTGCCAACTCCAAAAGCCTCTGAACTCCCCAGTGTACACCAACAGAGGATAGCTAATAAGGAGCCCGAGGTAGTAGTGTGTCATCGATAACTTTATTGCGTTCCCTTTTCATCCCCTTTCACCTAGCAGACGACGCTCCAAATAAAGTCACGTCGTCTGTCTCATGGTTCCGCCGCGT